CGCTTTCTCCCCAGAGCTGCGCACCTGCTGCAGCCTCTCTATGCTGCCTTGAAGGGTAAAACAGCTAAGGACCCAATTGATTGGCTCCCTGAACGCATCCAGGCATTTTCTGGGGCCAAGACCGCGCTGGCAAACGCCGCCCTGCTGGCCCACCCGTTTCCGTCGGCGGAGATTGCGTTGACCTCCGACGTGTCGGACGTGGCGCAGTGTTAGAACAGCGGGTCTCCGGTGTCTGGCAACCGCTCACTTTTTTTTAGTCGCACACTTAGGGACAGTGAGCGCAAATATAGCATTTTTGACAGGGAGTTGCTGGCACCTCGCGACACGGCATTTTCGTTTTTTTCTCGAGGGTCGGAGCTTCACCGCGTACGTCGATCATAAACCTTTGACATTCGCGATGTCCAAGGTCTCTGATCCATGGAGCGGGCGCCAGTAGTGCCAGTTGGCTGCCATTTCCGAGTTCACAACTGACATTGAGCACGCGGCTGGTAAGTCCAACTGACTGTCTATCCCGCGTGCTGGTTTCTCCCGTTTATGTTGGCATAGACTTTGAGGCTTTGGCCGCTGACCAACAGGCCGACCCGGACGTCCTAGCCCTTCGGTCTGCGCAAACGGGCCTTGTAGGGGAGACCGGGGATAGTTGTAACATTTTTGACATTTCTGTCTGTAAATTGAAGCTCTTTTAAGGTAGTGGATTCAAAATGTAATGCAAAGTATTTACATGTCTCTGCTATTAAATAGTGCAGCTATTTTCTCTGCAGCACAATTACCCATTGCATGGTATGGTCTCAAACACGAAGAGTGAAATGTTACAATTACCGGTAACCCCATAGTCTGGGTTAGTTGTAACATATCCTGGGGTGAAATGTAACACAATGAAATAAGGGTACTAACAAAATATTAACATGTAATCTTTGTTTATTCAACACATGAATGCACTTGGAGCCATTTATGTAGCTGTGTGTGTGTGTGACAGAATGCAGAAATCTAACTTTGAACATATTCCAACCCCCCAAAAAAGACAAGTTATGGAATTTTCTGCAACTGAATATTTCATTAATTTTGGTTGGTCTTCCTTGAATTTGGCCTCATTGGCTCAGTGGGCATTATAACCTACAACTCTTGCACCAATTTTGAACATAACAATGAAGCTGAAAAAATATAGTTGTTCACCAGCATCGCAATTCCATTACTTTTTATCATGGCTTACCTTGGTGTGGTTTGCAAAGTGCTTCAGAAAGATGAGGAAATCTGTTTCTTGCACTCATCCTGATTTATTTCCACTACCAGTACTTCCTACTGGTCCATCTCTGACACAGTGGTCTGCATAATGTATGTGTGGGAACACAAACAGTGGAGGAATTGTGTTGCCAGTGGCATTAACTGCATATACAAAGGTGACCAGTGAACCTCTCTGCTGAAGTCGTTGCCCCAACTTGTTTAATATAAGTTAAAGTAATAATGTGGTAACATCTGCATTATTGTTACAACTAACCCAGACTCCTATAGCTATGAACTAGCTAACATTACAGTCAACGGCTAAAACATTAGCACTAAAGACCTACACAGAATATATCCCCATAGACATACAAATAACATAATTCAAGTTTGATGAGTTTAACTGCAAAGCAGATAATGCTATTAAACATTGAAATAAAGTAGAAAAACTTACTTTTTGGTATACAAATTACTTTTTTTCATGTTAAATTGTCTGTGTTTGACAAAATGTACTGATTTTTCACATGTGATAGCAGAACTGAATTGGGCATGCACAGGATGAGTCACATCATTTGAAACTTAGCCCTGATTGGAGAAATTGGAAGTGTTACAACTGACCCACGTTACAACTATCCCGGTCTCCCCTACTGGAGGACAGACCCGTGTGGAACGGTGGGCCTAGCCTGCTGTGCGATGTTTCCACCAGCCGTCCACGCCCTGTAGTTCCCCTTTCATGGCGTCGTCGCGTTTTCGACTCCGTACACGCCCTCTCTCATCCAGGCATCGGGGCCTCGGTCAAGCTGGTCAGCTCTAGGTTCATTTGGCCGGGCCTTCGTAAATCGGTGAAAGACTGGGCAGCCGCTGTCATGTTTTTAATAAAACATCAATAGTAGTGAGCAAGCTTCTTTGTTTTAACGTGGCTCACATCCATGCATGTAAAACAACACACCACCTGTTGGTTCAGGTGGTGTGTTGTTGTCATCACACTGTCCTTCCGATGGTCCCATTGTCTTTTGAGTGTACAGTAAACTCCTCCGATTTCTCCTTAATATCAGTCCATCTTCAGTTTTCACATTGTATGTCATTATATTGAAGGATTCCCGCCTCTCAATTTCAAGTTTGGCTATTTGTTCATTTTTCATCTGCAGGACTTTCTCCAGGTGTGTTAGAAAGCTGCTTTGAGGCTTCCTTTGTCTGACTTTCTACTTCCTCTTGTTTTTCTTTTAACTCTTTTACTAGTTTGTTATTGTCCAAGTCCTTTCCCAAAAGAAAATCTGACAGTTCATTATTTTTCATTATCAATGTGCTTTTTTCCATAATGACCCTGTCCTTTTGCTCTTCAAAATCCTCTGCTTTTTTTTGCCATGTTTTAATTTCAGCTTTTAATTTCTCTTCTAGTGCCTCCACTGTTTTAAGTCTGTCTCTACATTGAAACAGCGTGCTAGCCTCTACAAGATATTCTGATGTCCTTTTTTCAAAGTTGACCCTCTCTTCTTTGAGCTGGTCCTGGACTCTAAGCTCATTTTTTATCTGTTCTGAAAAAGGAAAATGCTTATTAACTTGTAAAATAAAAACATGATGCATTTAAGGTTATCCTGTTTGGTTTTTGTTTAGGAAGAGAATTTGTTCCACTGTGTGATGGCCGAGTCTGTTTCTTTTCTTGGAGATAATTTCTCCTGCCTTAGAGAAAATCCTCTCACATGGAACAGAAGAGGTTGTAAACTGAAAGCGAAACAACTTAGCTTAGGTGCTCCAACATTCTGAAGAAGCAACTGCTATCCCAATTGGAGATCGATGATGTACAACACAAATGCTATGGCAACGACAGGGCCAGGACATCACGTCAGGGGGGAGATATTATCACCCTCATCCCATATTGGAACCAAGCCCCAAGTACAACTAATTCGATGAAGGTGTTGAGTGCTAGAGAGAGAAGATTGTGGCTAAGCTGCGGCTGATTATCAAGTCTATAACGTTCAACTTTCAAAGTAATCTTTGAAGGACTACTAAAAGATGTGAATGCAGCGTTACAGACAAACTGAAACCAACCAGCTGGTCTAAACCACAGCAGCAGTGATCACTGAGATGCTTTGCTAAAAGATGAACAACCACAAGAAGCAGTGCCCTCCATGGAGAAGGCGGCCAAAATCAGGGCAGTGTGGAGGGAAGTTAGCCCTCCACAGAGCTGCAGAAAGGAGTGTCTAAGAAGTACAGAAGTGGCTTGGAAACTGCCAAGCAAAGAATCACAACCATGGCCAGATGTATACCAGAGAGATAGAAGGCAGGAGAATAAACCACCTGTACTCCACTGAACCATGAATGGTTCAGTGGAGTACAGCTGGTTTATTACATTATTACATTATTACAGTTCCCTCTCAATGGCAGGGAAACCATATGACAATGGCCCACCAAGGCAACATTTGGTGGAAGCACTGGAAGACCATATGGAAGAAGGATGCAACCCCTAATAGTAATGTTTCAGTAACTAGTGGAGCTAGGACAGCACCCTCCCTGAACAGGATCCTGTAACTGTCACAATTCAGTTAAGATTAATTCAGTTAAGTTCAGGTAACAAGGAGATGAAATTCAGAAATTTCAAGTTATTATCCAAGTTAAACCAATTTAAACTGGTTTAACTTGGATACAACCACCTGAGTATTCTGTGAAGATGATATTGAAGTCTGGATCTTCTGCTTTTTCCACACTATTTCCACATTATTGCAATCTCTTTATGAAATGGAGCTAGTTACAGTCCACTGGGATTCAATAAAGCAATCAAGTATGGGATATTTGTTTGGACTCTGTTGTTGTCAGGGAATACTGTATCCACAAATGTAAATATTTTAAAACCAAACAGTGAAAAACTGATTGCTTAATGAATTTAAATTCTTGAGTAAATTGCTAAAACTTGCAAGTGATAGGAAAGCCCTTACTTTAGAATAGAATAGAATAGAATAATCCTTTAATTGTCCCAGAAGGGGAAATTTGGTTGTAACAGCAGCAAGAAAAACACATACTGTATACAAACAAATAGGACACACAGGACACAGAACAGAAGCATGCACATTTTTTTTTACATATTTACATCATGGACAATAGTTACCAAAAACAGAGTATTGTACAGTTATTAACATTAAATAAAAATAAATACAGAAGTTGCTTTACCTGGCCATTTTAAATTAATTTGAGACAAGTTACTGCTTTCTGATAGTTTATAACTTTGTTTTAGCTTCTTAAACACACAGTTTTTACACATGATTTTTATTTGATGAATACTCTAAGTTTCTTGTCTGTTTCTTGTGCTATTGTTCATGAATAAAAATTTTTGTAAAAAAAAAACAAAACAAAACCAAAACAAACAAAAAAAAAACCTTCCTGTGCTGTGGCTGTGGATGTGCTCTGGTGCACTCACAGCAACACCTCAGGTCAAAGGCAGTACTACGAGTTTGATGGCGTAAAAAAAATGGAAGCATAACCTACAGTTGACTCGTTGAGACGTGTGGAGAAACCTCTGTAGAAATACAACTGTGGGCATGATTATGGATATTTTGTGAGTAACTTGTCACACAGTAGTGCGCACTGGACACAGCCAGATTACTACTAAACAAAACAATAACTAGGGGTTTTAACAATCTAACGTTGAAACTAGTGCAATTTAACGGCGAATATTATTATAATTTCATATTTTCCCTCTTACTTTGTGTGCTGCTTGTCACGTGATCGGAGCGTCTGCAAAGCCAGTTTTTTTTCCTTGAAAATGAAAGTGAAAGTATCCGGAGAAACTTCGAGTGGCAACCGAACTAAAGGGGATTTTCTGCGGGGTCACCAATGAAGAATCATGGGTTTAATCTTAAATATCCTTATTTACTTGTATCTAAGTGCAGGTGAGTTATTGTGCAAGGCTTTGTCACCGCGTTTTTAGAGCTAGTGTGGACGCTACACTCGACTGCATGAATGGAATCATATGCTTAATGATGATTTTGTGCATATGTCTGTGTGATTTAGGTGTGTGGAGTATCCAGAACCCGTGGCTGCCCTGTCAGTTCACTGACGAACATGTGTTTACTAATAATGAGGGGCACACTGAGACTCGACTCATCCACAGAGAGGCTATGCTGCAATTTGGTCAGAAAGAAGATGCTCCTGTTAACCCAAACGCCATCACTTTATTAATCACTGGTGAGTTACTGCAGGCTGCATGAGGAGAAGGCTGAAAGACATTTGATTTGACTGCATGTGTCCTATTCTAGGATCAAAGTTGGACCTGAGGCGGTATGTGGAGGGGGTGGAGGAAGAGCAGCTGGAGTGTGAGCTACGCAGATACAGCACAGAGGGCATTTATGTCCGCTGGCCTGTCATGGGCGCCCTAGAGTACAACCGCTGGTTCCTCTGTACCCTCAGACACAGCAGGGGCCTCTTTACAGTCACTGGTTTCCTCAGGCACCCCTCTGACCAGCCTCCCCCAGGAGAGCAGGACTACCGCAAATGGCCCCCCATCCCTGACAGAGAGGTTCTCACCACCACAGGTAAACTCACCATATGAGGATTTCAGAATCAGAAAAATATATCTATCATATGATACTTATTGTTGATGATGCATGTGTAGTTATGGGACATGGTGGGCCACTTGTTTTGAGAAATTTGTGCAGACAGTCACCAGATCTGTTTCCACAGTCGCCATGGTCATCAAAACAAAGACTCCTTCAGTGAAAGCAGGCCTGATGTCCCAGCAAAAGCTCCACTGCCAGTTTGACGTTGACCACAAGGGTGCCAACATCACTGTGGAGTGGCACTGGCAGCACCGGGGAGAGAGGAATAAACTCTTCAGCTACACCAGCCGCACCGGGCACACCCAGGGGAGCGGCGTTGGGCTGAAGGCTCTGGCGACTGGCGATGCCACCTACACCCTCCCCCTGTCTAAGATGAGCAGTGAAGGGACCTACATTTGTTCAGTGTCAGTGAATCCACTGTTTGGCAATGTGGACATAAATCTGCACATCGAAGGTGAGGAAATCAGATGACACAAAGTACTAATACTAATTCTGCCTGTTACATTAGTTAAACTGAAAAATGGATTATAAAGGAGACTGATTCTGTTTGTTTTTTTTAGTTTTTCTGTCATACTGTTCCATATTAAACATGGTCAGATTTTCAGATTTTCATAACAAGTATCCATATCTAGACTTTAAACAGTTTTTCTACTTTTAGATCTGTATGAAGTCAGTGAGAGTGGATATCCCTAATGTGGTTGTAAGGAGAGAAGCCCAACCCATCCACTCTTTTAATCTTTTGTTCATAAGGTCCAACCAATCAGAAGAAACTTGGTGTAAAGGGGGAGGAGTTAGCGCTGAAGAGCAATTTCAAGACCCAGTTAAATCAAGATTATTTTGAACTGTGCATCATGTAAAGCTGCTCTACTGTACAGCAAGAATGAAACAAATGGGGCTGGAAATTAGTTTAATGGGTTCCCTTTAGTTAGGGATAATGGGCACTTGAATGGACAGTGGACCCTGAGAACTTTTAATGAGCCTCAGCTGAGATTTCATCTACTTTCATTTCATGCTCTTCACAGCTGACACCACCAGCTCCTTTCAGTGCTTCATGCTCAGGCAGCATATTACCTGCCCTTCTAGGTCCTGACTTCATCCAAACATTGCCTAGCGTTGTTTGACATAAGGTCAGCTAGGCAAAGACTCTAATCGGCCACTGGAAATGTGAAGAAGAGCTTTGAAGAAGAAGTTTTAAAAAATACAGTTAAAACTGTATTTTTATAACTGTTATAGTTATCCTGCTGATAAATGGTAAATGGCCTGCATTTGTATAGCGCTTTTCTAGTCCTAAGGACCCCAAAGCGCTTTACACTACATTCAGTCATTCACCCATTCACACACACATTCACACACTGGTGATAGCAAGCTACATTGTAGCCACAGCTGCCCTGGGGCGCACTGACAGAGAACAGCTGCCGGACACAGTCTCTGACCACCACCAGTAGGCAAACATGGGGTTAGTATCTTGCCCAAGGATATTTGGCATGCAGCCAGGAGGCAGCCTGGGATCGAACCACCGACCTTCTGATTAGTGGCTGACCTGCTCTGCGAGAACTCCCCCATAGCCATTCATGCTACAACAATAAAATAGCAAATAAAAAATTAAATGACAGAAAAGTTACTGTATTTTTACTGTCTGCTCTAGAAATGTCAGCTTTTTTAAAAAACAAAACAATGCTTCTACAGTAAAATAAATAATAAAAATAGGAAATTTAACTTTCTGCCTTATAATTATAGGGCACTACAGGTAAGGAGCTACCAGAGTTTTCTGTAATGTTACACTTTAAAAAAAAAAAAACTTAAGCCAAAAAAGTTGCGCTAACAGATTAATGTAGTTTATTACAGCAGTATGTTGTATGTCTCATGTAGAACAACAGAGATGTATTGTTGAAATTAGTTAAACTCATTTACACTGATAGAAATGGTAATTTAACTGGTCCAGCTCGCTTAAGATCAAAGTGGGCTCTATGTGGCTCAGTAAGTTGTGTCTTACTGTCAACTTTTACAAATATTCAGAAATTTCAAATGTCTCCAATTCAAATGATCATCAGGGATCACAAACACTTTTCCTTATGACGGCCCTATGACAGCTATCCAGCCCCCCCAGTTTATCCTTCATTGCTCCTTCACAGAGACCACACCTCTTGGCTACTACTACATATAATCACTGAGTTATTCTTCTCTAACTCCAGCTGAGTTACACATTGTTCTCATTCATTTGTTATATTGTTAGCTTGAAATTAAAGCAGTGGCTTCCTGTGTCAGTTATATTCACAGCAACAGTCAGTTCAAGCTGCACTTGGTGACAGTGGGGAGGAAGAACTCCCTTTTAACAGGAAGAAACCTCCTGCAGAACCAGGCTCAGGGAGGGGCGGCCATTTGCTGCAACCGGTTGGGGTGAGGGAAGGAAGACAGGATAGACGACATGCTGTGGAAGAGAGACAGAGATTAATAACAATTATCCATCCATCCCTCCATGATGGTTAATGAAATTCACGTGTGATTTTTTTAATGTTTCCATCACTTAGAACACAGAAGCTGTGGATTCATACATTTGGGATAACTTTTTACATTTTCCATTCTTTCTCTCCTAAGAGCCTCCTCGTGTCTCCCTCAATGTGGGACCCACCTTCTCACTGCAGGAGGGCCAGGAGCAGAAAGTTGTGTGTGAGGCAAACAGCTATTACCCCCTGGATGTGGAGATAGTTTGGTACGAGCAGGACCCGGCAGCGTCAGGCCAGAGGGTTGGTGCTCCTCTGCCCAAGGTACTGGATAACATCCTACTGTCCAGCCACAAACATAACCAGGACAGGACCTACTCGCTGTCAGCTTTCTTCTACCTCAAGGCTTCGCTCAGGCAGTCTGGCAAACAGTTTACTTGCAGTGTCTCTCATCACTCCCTGAAAGTGCCCATCAAAAAGAGCTTCATTCTGAATGTGGAAGGTGAGAGACGTCTCAGTGTAATACTGTAAACTATCAGTAGGGAGCAGCAGTCTCATGTGTGTTATCTGTTTCAGAGCCAGGGAGCTGGATGTTTAACATTGTTCTTGGTTTGATTGTAATCCTGTTGGTCATCCTGTTTGTAATGCTGCGCTACCTGCACTCAGGTGAGTGATATAAACAGGCCGCAAACCCACCAGCGCTTCCTGGAAACATATACAGCTTACATGTGTTAGCTGTTTGTGGAGCTACATGAGGTGTTGATGTCCTAAAGAGTAATTCTCATTTATTTTCTCCACAGTAAGGAAAAGGGCAGTAGAGGTAAGATTATATTATTTAAAAAATGCATTTGATGTAATGACACCAGTCACAATGATATTTAATTACCTTTGTTTTCAATGATGTGTGTGTTTTTGTGCCTGTCACGAGCAGAAGAAGCCATACTGAGCAGCGCTGATGGCCTGAGCAGAGCATCACACCCATCAGTGAGAACAGCAGCACCCCCCCATCTTTTTTTTTTAATTTTAGAAATGCTGAAATGCTTGATTTTAGTTTTTAGGTATATTTGGGTTTCTGTGAAACTGATTGTTTTTGTGTTGCACTGATTTAAGTTTAATTTCATGGACTCTGAAAGTCTGATTGTTTTGTAGTAAACCACGTCCATACAACCTAAGTCCGCCCCTGCTGTGCATTTCCTCCTATTTGTAATTAACTGGGTTTGCTTGGCTATCAGTGTGTTCTTGTGTTTATTAGAATCCTGAGAGAGTCCTATTCATTTTCCTGTTTTCTTCTTACTATAATATTAATCTAAATGCCTTTTCTTTTACCCCAGGAACAACAAATTAGCAGGACAGCACTGCTGCTAGGCAATGGCTATATTCACATGTTTATTCATGTGAATCATCATCCACTAAGAGACACCTTAAGCCTATTATTATCAGGCTTAAAGTTGTTTGGCGCAACCCACAGACTGTATGTAAAAGATGGATGTAGCCACAGTGATCTCACCCAGTAGTTTCTGGATTCCTCACTTTGAAGGTTAAGCCTTGGGATTTTGGACGATACCAGGCTGTCTTTTAGGAGCAGTAAGAGACAATATTTGATGATGGGGGTAGATTGTAGATATTAGCTAGCTAACTTGGTTAGCAAGCAATATTCATTAAATTAAGTATCTGCTAAATGGGGGCTTCAGTTCTGGAGAGTGAAATTCCAGTATTTTTACAAACTTTTTGAACATGCCAAACTACACAGCAGGTTATATTATTTGTCGGACAATTATATTACAAATATAACATCCCTAACTTAAACCTTACTTGTGTCCAAATAGATGAGTTATAGAAAAATATCACACATTACATGACATTAAGAGAAGGAAAGGTCGAAACTATCCATAGAGGAGACTTTCCTATACCAGTCTGTAAACATGCTTTTTAACATGGAAATCTATGGGGATTGATTTGTTTTTTTTAGCAAACCTTAATTGGCCAATAGTGGAACTGCAGCTTTTTTATTTTTATTTTTTTTACTCTTGAAGGACTGTTGCTTGGTCTGAACTGCTTTTTAGAGACTGGTCTTAACGAAACCCATTTTATCAATTGGGATCAGGGGTGGTAAAGAACAGCTGGAGCAACCACTCAATGTTCATAATGCAGCAATCACATTTTGAAGGTGCCTTGTGGTGTTTTAGACCACTTAAAGTGCTGCAGAGAAAGGTTTTCTGAACAAATTTGAACACGTTCATGATCTTCAGGTGTGTGTTTTTTTTCAAACAAACAAATCAAATCCATGCTCCGATAAAGAAATGAAAATGTTTTGTTCGATTTTGTGGAATTACAGAATAGTTTTGATTAAAAACACTGAAGATAACTGGAGTGTTTGTTATTTACAAGAAAAGTGTACCAGGCACTTGGAATAACTGCGTATCTGTAGCGATTCTACTGCTGAAAACCTGTTGAATAATGGGAATAAATGAGAATGACGACCACTAACTTAATAGCTTATGGAGTTTATATTATGAAACATTTTTGCACTATCTTGGCAGCACATGGTTAAATAATAAAATGTTTTGGAATTAAAATGTATTTTCTGAATATTTTGGACTTGGAGCACTCACTAACTCAACAATGAGGGTGTTTCATCAGATTCCTCAGGTTGATGTGTGCTGCTGAATGCTAAATAGTTGCTGCAGTCTTGTAATGCAAATAGACAGTTTTTCAACTTTCTATGTTGGCTTTCTTACTTGTTCAATCATAGTTTATGAAAACCAGATTAACTCTGTTGCAGAAAACAATTTTTACATTTGTGTATCTGTTTTTGCATCATTTTGCAGCTGAGACTTTTGGATTGAACCCAAATGTATTCTTAAAAATGTAATTAAACACATTTTAAAAGAATTTTTAAAAGAAAGAACAAGAGAGGGCAATTGCTAAATTCTTTTGTGGGAAAATCTAACTTTTGCTTATTTATGTGATTGTTTTGTAGATGCGTTTCAATGTTCCTCTCATACTTACCTTACAGATCTTATAGCTTTGCTTTAGAAAAGTTGTCTTCATGTTTATTTAAAAAAAACCAACAACTTTACTATTAATGTCTAAGTTCCTCTGCTTTTCAGTTGTATGAGCAGAATGTTGTATGTGTGAAATGAGAATTGACTTTTTATTTGCAGTGTAACATATTGTTGACTTAAACACACACATGCCACATCCCAACTTGTGACATGAATCTCCTGCTTTCATCTTGCTCATGGGAGCCCAATTGGGGTCTCTGAGCCCTTCCTTTATAAAATACATGACTTGTGCATTAATTTTTGAAACCAAGCACACCATTGTTTTTCTTGTGACATTACCAATAAGTTTGATGTGTCACATGGCCCTCTTCCTATTGAAAAAACAAAAGTTGTATCCAAGATGGCCGACTTCTAAATGGCCACCATGGTCAACACCCATCTTGAGGAGTTTGCTCCCTCACATATACTAATGTGCCACAAACAGGACTTTAATATCACCAACCATTCCCATGTTATTACGGTGTATCCATATAAATGGCCCACCCTGTATATTCATACACATTCACACTCTTGCAGACTGGAGGAGCCAGGAATCGCACTACTAACCTTCCGATCAGTAGGTGACCTGCTCTATCTCCTGAGCTACAGCCACCCAGTGATCAAAAGAGTAGGTGACTAGGATTGGGATAAAGTGTACACTCAAAAACCTGTCAAACCAGCATTTGAAATGTTGTCTATCATAGCAGTATACTATTGCAACATGGCATTTGGGTCTTCTAACTAAAATAAGAAAATAGGAACATAAATAGTGCCATCATTGCCAGACCTGGCCCACATCTGGTTGGCATACACTTCGCCATGACATAGTGTGGAAAATACAGTATGTCAGGTATAGGAAAAAAAAGTCTTAACAACTACATGAGAAAGATGTAGCTATATATGTAAGTAAAGTTCAATTAGTGAGAAATCATCTATATTGTTAAAGTCTGTTTCATGGCACAGTGTTGTTTAAATGGACATTCATGAACTGCAGGACTGAGGAGAAGAGTTGTGTGAAATAACCCATTTGTCGCTCTCCTTTTAAAAAGAATTTCAGAAGAATAATGGTGTTATCACATCCGTTTTGATGCCTGCCTCTGGTGCCCTAAGGGATAAAAGTGTGTGTGTGTGTGTGTGTGTGTGGCCCAGGGTTTGATCACAAATGTTTAGGAGAGACAAACACATTAAAGCAAATTTAAAGCTGTCTAAGATGTGCCACAGGCAAAAGGGAGGAAAGGAAAGAAAATTAATTAAAAAAAATATAACAGACTTCGCTTTTCATATTCTTTGAAGTAATGCCATGTGACAAACAAGAGCAGAGCAAAAACACAGCCATTAAAAATTACAGACAAACCAGACAAAGGCTATCAATCTCAGGATAAATGATGACCAGATACCATCAAGATTTCATGATAAGAGGGATGATATGCTTACACATATACGTCATGTTTGAAAAAAACAAACAAAAACAAAACGTTATCAGTGCTGCAGTGTTTTTAAAGTAAAACCACAGTTCACATAAATCCTGCTCCTACCTTCTCCATTCTGATTTTATCAGTTGTCTCCTTGTGAGATGTATTCTGTCTGTTCACAGGTGTGAGAGTCTGCTAGTCTGTGTCATGACCACAACCAACAGCCAACCAAACTTGATTTATCACTCAAGTGAAAAAGACACTTTCAAAATACTTTTTTCACACCAGTCAAAACAGGGATTGTAAAGAATATACATGGCATCAAACCTTAATTTTTTGCCACTTTATGTAAGAAATGTATAATATAATACAGCGTTTCCCAACCATTGTGCCACAGCACATAGGTGTGCCACGAGCAATGATCAGGTGTGTCGTGGAAGATTATCTCAATATAGAATATTCTCATATAAATCATGGATAATGGATGTAGCGTTGGCCTCTCTTCAAAGATAAAGGCCAAAGAGCAGGAATATGTAGCTGACAGTAAACAAGTTTAAAAAATGGTTAAAATGACAGAAATCTTGGGTCTTTATCAATATCTATCATCAAATCTAGCTCTAGAGGAGCTGTGTGTGTCTGGCTGTGTGCTCAAGTTTGAAGTGAGGTCTACAATTGCAGTGGAAGCTCTGCTGGTAACCTCCATTTATTGGCCAAAGAAATGTACAACATGCTAGTTGTGTAATTTCAGTTAAAACGACATCAGCACTTACAACATCATCAACGGCTATATCAGTTACAGATTATCATTCCATAGAAAAAGATGAGCATGACATTTGTGAAATTCCATGATGGCCTAGTTCTGTGTAATTACTGCAACTTTATCCAGTCACAGATCTTAAGATGATAATCCAGTTTGCAGAGACAGGCAGCAAGCTGAGGCCGGTGCTGGATGGGGCCTGATTTCACTGTTGATATACTGAACCACACACACTCTCTGATCCCTGGATGTTGTAAAAGTACAGGGAACAATTAACTCACCGTAAGGCAGGAGGCTGAAGATGATTTAATGTTGATCTAACACTATTCTTCTCTGTTGTTTCAATGCTTATCTGTGATCTTATGTCTGTGGACTTGTTGGTACAAGTCACTGGGAAAGAAAAGACAGACCCGACTGTGGAGAAGTCAAATATTAAAATTTGTACAAATATGCAAAACTGGCTGGAGTCCCCTGTCATGAAAAAATATTCTGCAGTAACTGAATCCCGAAGAAAGTGAAAGAGGAGAAAGGCTGTGGCTGTAAATACCCATAAATGCTCAGTAGTAGATAGTAGTAGATCCAAAAACTTGACTTTTTTCCTGTCTGGCAGCTCCATCTTCAACATGCTTTGTTCAGTATTCATATGTTCACGCCATCTCAGCCTCACCTCTCTATGGCTGTGCCCCAATTCAGGGTCTGCACGCTTGAAGTACGCGCACTACGTACGATGCGTACTATACGTACGAGAAGTGCGGAAGTGAGAGGCTTGTGAAATGGGACGGTCTAGCCTTCGTCGCGCTGTTCAGGTTGCCTAGCAACCATGATACTGACCGCGAGAAACGTTTCATACAGCTTTGTGTGACAGAAATGAAGGAGAAAAATGTTTTGTTGGTCATTCATTTTTGTCATGACATCACTTTGATTAGTTGAGTATCTGAGGCTGAGACCACCGGACTGTAAAACATGATAGTTGGGCTTCATTTCTGTACTGAAGAGTCATTTCAAGATTAGTTAGTAAATAACAATTAGCTAATGTTGTTCATGAGACAAAAAATAATCTCACTGTGGTAATGTAAATATAATATGGCCAATTTTTTATCTATCTATCTATCTCTCTATCTATCTATCATCTCCATATTCTGTGTGGATTTCATTGCATGTTTTTAACAGTTTGAGTTAACTGCAAACTGTGAACCAGTAAGATCACAAGACACACTGATCACTGATCTCTTACGCCTCCCTCCATTACTTTCTTTAAAAACACTGGAAACACAGTAAAAAATGATTATCACATTCAAGTGTTGTTAAAGTCAGTGGGTGCCACAGAAACTGCAAATTGCTGTAATAGCTACATTATATTGTAGGTAAACTGGTAAAACACTGAACTGTCACTCAGCCTCATGTCTGCTTTGATGATGTAATTTCTATGAATTTAATTTAATTTAATCTCTGATGTCAATAATGAATGAGAACCATAACATACAGCACACAATGTAATTACCATACAGCATGGTAGGTGGCACAGGCTTAGCCAGTACCTTTGAACCGGTGTTTTTCTCTTCAGGACCACATGTTGAGTTTTACATGTTTTTGTTGTTGTTGTTGTCATAGTCCATGGAAGGTGTTTTATTAATGGTGTCCTATCCGTACAGACTGTACTGATCCTGCTGTGTCTCCAAAGAAAAACTGGTATCTTAAACTCATAGGCAAATTCATGTCAGCTGCTGGCTACACTCTTCACGGCACACATAATGAAGATCTGGGAATATCGAGTAGAAAATCAGTGTCTGAGTGTGTTTAGAGATCATGTGGATATTACTTTACTGTTTGGGCTTTAATCTCTGTGCGGCGGCTTTGGTTCTTTTCTCCCCACAGTTACTTTGGATTTCTTCCTTTGCCTTTCTTCCACGTGCTTCTTGAGTTCAGCTCAGAGCTCTCAGAGCACTCCTCCTGTGATGGTGAAATAATAAACAGCTCTAACGGCAGCCTGGCTGTCTGGCTCTCCTCTCCAAAGCTGTTGTGACACATCAGTCAGATTTCTAACATGTAGGGTGTTTGGAAAAGCAAAGCAGCTAATTGCCGTCACGGTTCTCACTGACAGAACCTGACTCGTGCAGTTTATGTTCAGACTTAACTCTGTGCCCTGCCAGTTTCTCTGGTGAGGTCAGGGTGCATGGAATCTCAGCACGTAGGGAAAAAAAACAAACAACGAAAAAAAAAACCCCCAACATGCAGCAGCCTGGAGAGCATGACCTCATGCTTGCAGTACCTGGCCTGGCTGACAATGGGGTACTATCAGCCAGGAGCTATGGATGCTTCAAGTTTTCATGTTGAAACATCACGGTTGCGCAAGAGAGTGAAATATGATTTGTATGACATGCCTCAAACCCTATGTTTAAGTTAGATCATAAAATGGGGATGTGTCACTGGATAGCTATGCAGTCAGTGTCATGAACATGTAGGAAGAAAATAGCTAGGATCCGCTCACAGGGGAACGCTTGGTTTTGTTTTTAGGAAAACCTTTTTAGATCTGTATAGTAAAAAACAAAAAAAACAAAAACAAACCAAAACAAAAGATACAATTTATGTTGTAACTGGGCAGCGATAAGAACTGACGACTTAATGGGGAGCAAAATGGGACGTGATTAAAAGAGAATCGGTCATGTTAATCACATCTGGCACTTTGTATTTTTAAACTTCTCCATCTGTTTGTGTTTGCATGGAAACTGGAGGGGAAGAACTGTAAATGAGAGCGACCTTCAGTGATTAGAGTGTGACACAGTTTATGTTATCTGATCTGATCCCCATCTGCAACCTACTACATGAGTTTTAAATGTCTTCATTGTGTGCCATACCTGTGTAACACTTGCTTCCAGCTCAAGTCAAGTCAAGTCGGCTTTATTGTCACTTCAACCATATACAGTTTAACAGTACACAGTGAGGCGAAACAACTATCTAAGGATGACTTTTTTTGTTATCAGACAGCAGACAAAGTGCACGTGCAAATGTGCAAACA